TATTTTTATATATATATATATATATATATATATATATTAAAATAATTATAATTACTAAATGTGGCTAAGATATTCTAACCTAAATCTTTATTATTGTTAACTATTTTTATAAACAAAAATTCACCAACATCATCCTAAAAATATAATGTAAATAGAATCATAACTTGGTGATTTTGTAAACAATTATTTCTCAAGGTTATAAATTTAAATTTTATATTGTAAAATTATCATTTATTTTGATGAAAATTTATTAAATATTTCATTTATTAATTAAAAAAATTACAATTATATAAATTAAAATAAAGATAAAACAAGAGGAAATTAAGTTTTCAAAAATGGATTTCTTTGAGACATACTTTCTATCCTACATGTGACCCGCCATTAGCTGCCAATTTACGAGTCGAGCCTCGCGTTTAGATTCTTCTCCTTCGTCATCGAGCACCGGCGACGATCTCCGCCGCGACCTCACAGGAATCATTAGAATGTCTAAGAAGGTCGTCAGCATCGCCGCTGGCGAAGCCCATACGCTCGCTCTCACTGGTGTCTCTTTCTCTCCCTCACTGCTTTTGGAATTTTCTTGTCTGCCCTCTGGCAGAAGAAAGGATGCAATTCGTTGTTAATTGGCGTGAATGGTGACTTAAATTTTTGGAATCTCAGGAGATGGTAGCGTATTTTCATGGGGAAGAGGCACTTTTGGCCGACTAGGTACAGGGAATGACACGGACGAGCTTTCTCCTGTGCGCGTCTCATTCGCGAGAAGTGACGGAAAAGGGGAAGCTAAGTTTGTTGGAGTTGCCGCCGGTGCTTACCATAGTCTCGCACTGCAAGGTTTGTTGTTCTAGCTTCGATCTATCTTCACGCTTGAAAAGAGTTGGGAAATTGTTAAAGACTGATAAACTTTTCGGCGATTTTTAGTTTTTGATTTGATCGATAAGGATATTTTTTGGTTTGAAGTTATTGGAAGAGAGGAAATGCGAACAAAATGGAAATGTTGATTGAATTGAAATTTTCGCCCACTGGTTTAGTTGAGAGAAATTGAATGAGATTGTTTTCCTGTTTGTTTGAATAAAAATTGACTTTGTGTTTCTTTTGTTGAAGAGACGTGAGTTCATAAAATTTTCACTCTCTGGTTTGGTTGAGAAACTGACTGAGAATTTTTTTCATATTTGTTTGATTTGCGATTTTGTGTTTCTTTTGATAACTTGTAAATTTAAATGATGATTTAATGAATTTTTCTCCAAATTTGTGTTTGTGTTGAGAAGATAGTCGTCAATGAAACAAAAGAAAAGCGCATTTACTTTCATGGTCTAGGAAATTGTTCAGGCTAAGTCTTCTAGTGATATGGCTCAATTGCAGCAAAATACTTGAAGGCTTATTTCTTCTCTCTCTTTACTGAATCTTTTCTTTTTCAAAACTTTTCAAGTGGGAATTTATTCGGTGATGGATCGGTCGCGAATGAATGTGGAGCGGTGTTTTAAATTAAGCTTCTTTGCTCTTTTCAAAGTTCCAACAGAAGTGGACATGCATTTTGGTATAGGGGCTGGATTGAAGAAACATACCTTGGCAAGTTCAGCTCAAAATTCCTTCAAAGTGTGCAGAGCTTATTTTATGCTTTTAAAGATGCATTAAATCTAATAATATAATGAAATTTGATGTGTTATCAAAAAATTTTATCATTTCACATGAATCGCACGATATGTTAAGCTTCAAATTAATGATCATCCAGAGCACTGATTTCAGCAAGCTTATAGTCAAATCGATTGTCTTGATAAGATCGAGCTGATGATACCAAAATTGGTTTAATCCGAGTTCGATCAAGTCCAAATTAAGCCATTAAAGCACATTTAGAAGATTCAAATCATTAGTTAAATGAGTGAATAAACTCCACTCCAAATTTGACATATCATATTTATAGTCAAATCGAGCATCTCAGCAAGATGAATCCAACGAACTCATGATCATACAATTCTGAGGTCATGAAGATCCTCAAATTATTAAAAAATATTATGTACTCAAGGGGAATCATTATGGACCATCTTATCAGGTGGTTACAAGAATTATTCGCTAAATAATCAAAATTTCTCCTTTCAGAGACTATAAATAGACCCTCTTTCTAGGTGGCACTTATACGACCCCCGAACTCGGAGAAGCCTTGCTCAAGGATGATATTTCAACATCGATGAGATTCTACATACCTCCGTGTGACCTCCCCGGACACAGGAAACCCTTCCTCCACTGGTGAAGGTGACCTCATTCGGCTTTTTGAAGCTAGTCAAAAAAAGAGGAGAGAGGATTTTGTAGGGAGAAGAGAGAGTCTAATAGTGATTTACTATTGAAATCAAGGCTTAAAAAATCATTAGGTTTTGTTTCATATTTATAGGAAATCAGGCGTTGTGGTGGAAAGCCTGATTATAACTCATTCGGGTGGCTATAAATGCCTTTTTAGCTTAGGTGCCATGACGCCAGCAATCAAGGCCGGGGCGCTTCATCGCTTGAGGCGCTGAGGCGTACGTCTTTATTGAATTCAGTTGAATGTGAGTCGCTATGTCTAATCCCGGTGTCGCAGCTCCATAGAAGACGATGGTTTATTTTGGATACATGTCTTATCATATGCAGAGCAATGATGTTGAGAATTGGGGCTGCGGAGACGTGCCTTTATTTGACATTTTGCTTATGGCTTGGTTGACCATCCAGCTTAACCACAAGAATACTTTAGATTGACCCAATGACTTTAGAATGGGTCAATACTGACACCAACACCTATTATTGATAATGTCAAATTGAAATCCACTAAGAATTTTTTAACTATCATATGCTGTTTTTTCAGAGCATTTGTTAAAAAACAATAGCTTGTATTAGAAGAGGTTAACTGTAATCTACCAAGAATTTTAGACCCATCCCAGTTTGTTTTGCTAAAGGTGCTCGATGATGCTAACTATTATTGTCAAAGTCGAAATGAAATCCATCAAGGATGTTTGACCTATCATAGGTTGCTAGTCGAAGCTTTTACTTGATGATCGTAGTCTGTTTTGAAAAAGATCGAAGAAAATATATGAAGAATTTTTGACATGTCTTAGGCTATTTTGTTTGACGTCTGTTTGATGACCATAGCCTATTTTGGAAGAAGTTTGATTGAGTTCCCTTGAGACTGATTAAGCCTAGAATAAGGTGTCAGAGATGTTTTTGTTTCTCGAGTCTACGGTGTAGGTCGAAATGGGTCATACCTTTTCTTAGAAATATGGATGTGATCATATTTAAAACAGTTTTGTAGCAACTTTCTTATTGTTGCCTTTGAAGTGGTTTCCCTTTTGAAAGATATTATGTTCATGAGCTTGGTAATTTATATAAAGTAGTCCATATATCAAGTATTAAGGAGGTTGGCTTTTTGATCCACTTAAGGAGGAACTCTAGTACGATGTTGGGGCATTGAGAGAGCGCTTTCTAGTTGGATATCTCTTCTTAGTGTTTGATCTAGGTTTTATTTTAAAATGTTGATATGAGTTTTCTCTTGAAATTGTGATGAAAATTGCCCCTCAGCTTGATGTTAGTTCTCATAGACTTGATGAGATGCAAGAAGGCTACACCACAATCTTGCCTAGGATGTTGCCGTAAATGACCTTTCAAGACTATAGTAAAGCTGCCCCAACCTAGAAATAATTCTCATAGACTTGACAACAACAACAACAACAACAACAACAAAGCCTTAATCCCACTACGTAGGGTCGGCTACATGAATCCTTTTTCTCCATTGCGTCCTATTTAGTGTCATATTTTCATTTAGTTCTAGTAAATTAAGATTATTTTTAATACAATAAGCCCAAGCCTTCTTAGGTCTACCTCTGTCTTTCTTAACACAAGTCGAATCTAAAACATCTACTCTTCTAATTGGATCATCAGATGGTCGACGTTTAATGTGACCAAACCATCTAAGACAACTTTCTCTAATTTTGTCTGTCACAGGAGCTACACCAACCCTATCACGAATATATTCATTCCGCATTTTGTCTCTAAGTGCAAAGCACTCATCCACCTAATCATTCTCATCCCGGCAACACTTAACTTATTATTATGCTTCGCTTTTAAAGGCCAACCTTCAGCGCCATAGAGCATTGCAGGTCTCACCACCATCTTATAAAATTTTCCTTTCAGTCTTAGCGGTACTTTTCTATCACACAAAAGGCCCGAAGCATTCCTCCACTTCAACCAACCAACTTGAATTCTTCTATTAACATCCCCATTTATATCACTATCGCTTTGAACAACAGACCCAACATATCTAAATCATTCACACTTTTTAATAATTTGATCACCCAAAGTCACATTTTTGTCACTAGAGCTATTACTACTAAAATTACATTCCCTGTATTTAGTTTTAGTTCTACTTAAACGAAGGCCTTTAAACTCTAATGTAGACCTCCATAATTGAAGTTTTTCCTGGGCTTTTTCTCTCCTTTTATCTACGAGAAGGATATCATCAGCAAAAAGCATACTCCAAGGTATGTCCTCCTGTAGATGTCCAGTAAGACCATCCATAACTAAAGAAAAAAATATGGGCTTAAAGCCGATCCCTGATGTAATCCAACAGAAATAGGAAAATATTTTGTCAATCCTCCTTTAGTTTGAACACAAGTAACAACTC